ATTAAATACAAAAACGAATCAGTTATAGACTTTAAAATTAAATTTAAAACCAATTTGCCATTATTCATACGCTGTTTCAACGATTGAACAATATAAAAAGTATGTATTTATTATTATTTACTAAACGAATCAAAAAAAAATTAATATCGTTTTATACATTTTAGTTTACAAAATGTACATTTCTTAGTGTCACAAAACAACAACAACGTTAAAATCTAACACAACGCAAAACTGTATTAAATTATTTTAATAAAAGATAGTTTTACATAGGTGTTTGCATATTATATAGAATACCATTAAATACCTAAGGTGGAAATCCATTGTAACGATATCGAAGCTACAGTTGTTTGTTTTATTGTAATCGATTATTTCTTTTAAATTATTTTTTTATAATAGGTATACTATCTTACATTTAGACATAAGAATATACGAGTACAATAAAGGCTTAACCGTCAAGTTTTCCCGGCAATTTTGGTGTGTCGTTTTTTCGCCTGCACCACAGGCGTGTGAAAAAGGTTAGCGTTCCTATATATACACAAAAATATATTGACGTTTTGAACGATTGCGTATTTGTGTCACATATACCATAAACGTGGGCCGGCAAAGCGCCTGCAGCAACGATTATTTGGTATTTATATGTTTGTGTAATTGCGTGCGTGTACGGAATCGCCACGCGCGAGTACAACTGTTGTATTATTGTATATACATAATTACATTTATATATATATGTGTGTGTGTGTGTGTGCGTTCACGGATGATGAAGCCCGCGCAGTGTCCGCCGCCGAGCCATTATCATCATTACGACCCCTCCGCGAACGCGCGGTAACCATTATAACCACCATAACCATTATCAACCGGGTTACAATCATCATCATCATCATCGCCGTGCGTAGTCGACGAGAAAAAGCTTTTAATAGCTTTGATTGAGTGCCACCCTGAATGCCCTTCTCGTCACTGCTCACCACCCCGAGATTGGTTTATTAATACTGTACACAAGCTGTTCGAATTTCCTGCAGGGGATGTTTTGCACAGCCACCCTTCACCCCCCGTCCGATGCTTTCGCCCACGCGACATTTGTTCCGCCCCATCGGCTAATATTAATTCTGATGCACGAATTCCGTCGGGGATAACCGCCGCCTAACATTAAGCCGGTAACATCATAATCGTGCTTTTATGAGGGCTGTTTTTGTTTTGGTATTATTATTATTATTATTATTATTATTATTATTATTTGTTGTTTTTTTAAATCTTTCCAATGAGGGTTATTATATCCACTCAATTGAAAATGGTTGGAATTTTTTTTTTTTTTTTAATATTTCTGACCTAAGAAAACTAATTATGTTATGAGCGTTATGGTTACTATAGCTACTGTCTATGTACGTAAAATATATATTATGTAATGTCAGTGATTTTATTGGAGCGATTATGAATTTATTAACTTTAAGATTATGTGTATTTTTTTTTTTTTTTGACTTCAAGGCTGGTTTCTGGTAGTAAAGTAGATCAAACTAGATCAAAAGTGAAAATTCATGGCATTTTTCTTAATTTTCCAGAAAAACGAGAATATTTACACAAAATTCAACCGTCAAAACAAAATTCATCCGGTTTGAATAAATGGTTATAATCCAAAGACCAATTACCATAGATAATTAAATGTTCACCAAATATATTTATGAAATATTTTTTTTTTTTTTATAATTTCCAAATACTTGAGCTCTTTTTTAGTTTATTATAAATATTTTAAATTGTTAATTTAGAAATATTTTTTAATTATAATATTACGATTACAATTTTGAAGCTCAGTCAAAATAGTTAAAAATCTGATATAAAGTTCTTCATACCTTTTACTTATAGAAGTTTAAATATATCAAAACTATACACACATTTTTTTTATAGGTGTTTGAAGTTATAATTTTACAAAATTCATCAAAATTGTATTTTACTTAAAATTTTTAGAATTAAGACTCGAACATAAGGTCCGTACAAATTTTTTAATCACCGTTTTAAGAAATATCTAAAATACAATTTTAAGTGTAATCTTTTTTATAGACATTAAAGTATGACGAAATCAAGTACCTATAATTCAAATGAAAAATAATGATTTTAGTTAAATATTTTGCTATATTCAGACGTATTATTATTAATTATACATAATATTTTCAAAATATTATACATACTACCCTGTAAACCTGTGCGAGGCCTCCCACCTCAAATGGTAATAGAATTTACCACAAAATATAATTACATTCAAGAATAAAAAGTATTTTATTTTAAATGTATTAAGATAATTTTTATTACAATATTATTTTAATGAAAAAGGAAAGAAATGATTTTTTGATTTAACTTTATAAAATTTTAAATATATTACAAGAAAAACAGTATGAAGATTGTTTTGTTTCATCCTAAATTAACCAATCCCGAAAAAATAATCGACGATTATTTTATAATGTTGTATAAACCAAACAGTTAATAAAAGATCTATCCAATTTTATGTCTTTTTACAAATGTATTAAATTGTTAATCAACTCACAAAATGTTGGTAGGCAATCGTATCACGAATTGACTTCGTGATGGAAATTGGCCTCATTACAGGGTCTTTTAAGTTTGTGAATGTCACCTATGACGGTACAATTGACTATTATTACTTGGCGTGGAAACAATATTAAAATCAATTAGTCTTATCCTTATCGACAATAATCGCAGAATTTGTATCTGACACAGATGAATCGTTATTAACAAACACATTACTTCATTATAGTCTCCAAAGCTGTTATAAAAATTTGTACAATAAATCGACAACTCTTTGTTTTCTTACCAATTTTTTTCTAAATTTTCTCTATGTTTCAAAGAATCGGATTAATGTTTTTATATTGGAACTCGGATAATCTCCGTAATAAAAAAATTATTATTATTATTTATGGTAAAATAAATAAACAAAGAACGCTATAAAAAAATATAATATACTAAAGGAAAGAAATTAACGGTGGATAAATAACAAGGCGTGTGTATTTAACAATACTGATTATATCTAGCTTAGAAGCTATACAAATAGTACCAAAATAAAAATAACAATAATACGTCGTTTAGTACACGATCATTTCTAGATATTTTTTTGCAAGTAAAAATAAAAATATGTATAATATTTAATCATAAAGACATATAGTATATATTTTAATATATAGGTTATAATATATTAAAACATCAAACATTACAAATCTATTTCAATGGGCCCTGCACTTCAGGTTCAAATCCCCCTTACTTTTGTCAAACCTCTGGGTTGACCTATATAAATGATGCATATCATTGAATAAAAGTGCATCACATCATGTAGATGAGTAGATGTACCCATTATTACAGTGACCCACTCATTGACAAGACACATTCATTAGCACAAAGGGGATTCTGTATTTTTTTATTAACAATTTTTTTTCTTCCTAAAACCTTTAAAATTTGCAGTAGTGTGTAATTTCGAATTTGACTAATTATATTTAAATGGGATTTATATTAGAGCGATAATAATAATAATAATAATAATAATAATTATAAAACATGAACATGCCTTAAAGTCTTTCTAAATACACCTAATAATATTTAAATATATTAATGATTTAAATGTCATTAAATTTTTTTTATAGTTATTACTCGTAAAATTTTCAAAATTACCTGCATATTTCTTAAAATATTTACTAAAAATTTAGATTATAATAATTATGTAAATATATATATATATATATATATATACGTATAGTAAACGAATAACGATGTAAACGATTGGTTAAAAATAATATTTCCATATTTTCTTAATTAACTCTATAAAATTGTTTCCCAGTTTTTTACACTTCATTACACAATAATTATCAGTTAAATAAATCTGTAAATTAATTAATTATAGTGGTTTCCTCTCCAAGAAATTCATATATTATATACATACATACCACCATAATAAACTATATTATTGGGGTATTTTGCATGCTTGAAATGATTGATTGTTGAAAACAGTATTTTTAATTTTAAAAAATGAAATAAACTATTTAAGTAGATTAAAATTTTAAATATAAGTACTATTTGTTGTATACTCTTACGTATTATAAAAATATAAGTTGTTAATCTTATAGGTATATTATACCTATTACCTATAGCTTGTATGGCTGTTTAGGTAATCCATTACACATAAATATTGTTATCTTTCGTATACTGATATGCTCGTGACATATTACAGTGTTTGGTCGGAGAAGAAGGTATAAACAAAAATGTACACCCGCAGTGATTAGCGATCACTGATTACCTACATATTAAGTATATTCAGCTGTTCAGGTATGACATGTATAACGTATAAAAAATAAATGTGTACAATGTGTACACATTATATATACATAATTTATATTATACCCTTATATTATGTAGCTATAAGCACTATAGATTAACCAATTCGAAGTATAGGCGGCGGCTTTGACGTTCAAGTGGAATCCGATGATCGTTGTCGATGGTGTATCATCTATACGTGTATAGTGTAGCAATATAGAAGTACAAACCTATATCTAAACAGTAGCAGTCGACGCCAAAGACACGAGGGTAAACGACGACGGCAGACGAGGGTGAACGACGACTCATACGGCGGCGGCGGTGGTGGTGGTAGCTGTGGTGCTGGCGGCAGCTCTCCGTATTTATACACACACACGCACACCCCTACGTACCGCGCACATGAGTATATAAACGCGCACGATGGGTTGGGCAGTTCGTGCGTACGCGGTGGGGGATGAAATCCGTTTTTGGACCAATGGAGTGGGTGTGTCTGTTGCGCCGGGGATGGGCGGAGCGTCGTCGGTTCTAGGGCGGTGGCCGCGGGGTTAAAATGTCCGCGCGCGCGGCGTAAAAACCGTGACTGGCGTCGATCGGCGGGGTCGGAGAAGTGGGGAAAAAACCCGAAAAGGGAAGGAATAATAATAACGATAATAATAGTAATAGTAATAATAATACGGCGGCCCGCTTAAGTGCTCCGACACCGCAAACCGTAGTCGTCTTGTCAGTTAGTACAACCACCCGACCGCTCAGCGACGACAATCGCGCGCGTACCGTCGTCGTACACACACGAACGCACTCAATCGTTCGGTCGATTTACGCACCGATCGCCGTATCCGATATCCGTTGTCGGTCTGTGACGACGATTTATTAAGTGCACTTTTAATATATATATAATATATATTTTATATTAATCAAAGGCGACGGATAAAACGGACTCGTTATCATAAGGAAATATTTATATATTATATATATAATATCCACATTGACGACGCGGAGTAGTGCGTACTACCGTTGTAATTATAAATATTAGTAAATACCGTGCCGGCAACACGTGCGCCGAGAGTGTAGGTATAGGCGCGCCTTTACCAGCGCGGCTGCGATAAAACACACGTCGCCCGATAACGGACTTTTCGTCGCACCGCCGCAAAACGTTTCGGTTTCCGGCTCATAACCCCGTCGGTTCCGGCGCGGATATCCGCGACTGTTGCACCGACCGCGGCATGTCCGAGTCTCCGCGCATCGACGTGACCGGTAACGACGACGACGACGAGTTGTGCTGCAACAGCGACCGGGGATCGGCAACCGGCGGCACCGGAAACGGCCCGATAACGGCCGCCTGCAAGACGATGATGATGGCGACTGCTGCGGCCGCGATGACTACGGGCAACGGAGGCGGTGGTGGTGGAGGTGGCGGCGGCGGCGGCGGAGGTGGTGGTCGCGAATCTCCGGCTGTCAAGTCGGCCGCACCGCCGTACACGTCGTTCTCCATTTCGAGCATACTCAGCAAGGACAAGCCCGGCGGCGCCGGAAAACAGCACTGCAGATCCGTGGGCGCCGCCGTGTCACCGTCCACTGCAGCGGCCGCGGCGGCAGCAGCGGCCACGTTTGACGTCACCGCACACCTGGCGGCCGCAGCCGACCACGCAATGTTGTCCAGGTAAGTCGTCCGCCGAAACGGCGTCCACTGCGTTGTTTCCGGTACTCAGATGCGTAACAACTATTCAATGGGGTCGGTGGATAAATGTGTTAATATTGACATTTTTGAAATGTAAAGGTTCACAAATGCTACTTTCGTGACTAAATATTACAAAGCTGAAACGAACTTCATTCGTATTCGTTAAAATATTATGAAATAACTTAGAAGATAAAATACTTGTGTGGGTGTGAATAGAGTTGCTCTATAATTAATAATAATATATTGTGAAATCAATTATCACTTTGTTCTAATAAAAAGTTCTCATAATATATTACCTATACATGTTTATAACACTAAAACACTTTTATTCGTGCAGCAATAAAATGCATTTTTTTTAAAAAAAAACATCGGTAAGTTAACGTTCATATCCACTGACGCCCTTGAATTATTATAGTATATTTATATAATAATATTACGATGTTATGCGTGATTAAATTATTATTTGTTTTCGTCGTTAAATATATTATACTAAAATATATTTTCGAACAAACGTATTAAAACCCAGTGGCATGGAGAAGAGTAATTTAAGAGGCAATTGTCTCTAAAATTTTCAAGTTATTGGGAGATGGGTGTCGCGATTCGCGAAGAGATTATTATGCATCCACTAATTTCTTATTATATAATATAATCTTATACATCAACAATAATGGTTATATGATAATGCGTCCATAAGATTTTTTTTTTTGAAGCCACCTCCTCCCCAACCCTATTTGCGTTTATACGAGTAGTGGGAAAGTGAGTTCTTAGGCTATATTTTATTGCCTCTGGAATAGATTCAGTTCACCATGCCACTGTTAAGACCTATGTATAGAGTCCAGGGGCTAATAATTAGTTGTGCAATTCTACTATTAAAATGGTATTATTATTTTTATTAATTAAATAACTGATGAATTATCAGATGAACAATATTGTTAAGTTGTAAATTTACTAAAAGTACTGAATACTTATATTATAATGGCTGTAATAAAAACGTTATATTACTTATATATTTTTCCTTTAGCATTAGTTAAATAATATATTTAAATATATAAAAAAAAAAAATCGACAAGTTCAGTTATGAAAAATTTAAAATAAAATAGTTCACGATTCTCTTTTTTTTTTTTTCATAGGTATATACTTAGTATATATAAACTTTTTTATTTTTACTTTAACAAAATACTAACTAGATAATCATAATGCACAATATTTATTTTCTACAATAATCAGAATTATTATTTTTTATACTACGTTTAATTAATCAAAATGTTAATATTATTATTATTTAATGTTAGTATTGTGAATCATAATAGTTACCTTGTATAAAATACATATACCTACTGTCATTACCATCTTTTAAATTTGTTTTCGTATTAATCAGAAATGTATACAACTATTTTTAAAAATGTTTAAAACTATGTTTATTTAGGTTTATTATATTGATGAGTAGTTAAACATAAATTACAGCTCTTAGTATTCCTAAGAATAATACCTATGTCTATAGTAAATAAAAAAATATATTATAGTATTTTAAATAATTTTAGAGAATCGTTTTTATAAATTTACAATAATTAATAAGAACCAATTTAGTGATTGAACTCAAACTAAATAGTTTCAATATAATATACCTACTTTGTGTTCATATTTTTTTTCATAGTTTTTAAATCATTCACAATTAAATTAATTTTTCTCAAATTTTATAAAAAGATAAATAATGCACCTACATTATGTATACATTCTTTTATGTACTTAAATAATGTATAGACTGTAAGTCTCTTCTAATTGTAGGTACCTATTGATGATGCAATAATAATGTAAAATACTAAAAATAAGATAAAACTATATTAAGGTAACTGGTATAAAGTAGTTTTCTATGTAACTTTATCTCCATAACTGATAACTTCATAAAATATCAAGTAACTAAGAATTAAATGTGGTTTTTGATGTTTACCAATTTAATTTACTTTTTTATTTTTTATGTATTTTATATCAAATTTGTATAAACGATAAACTAATAACAATATTAATAGAGGTAAGGATTTAGCTTAATATTTCATTTAAACGTAAAATGTATTTGATTAACAAGACAACCATCTTTTACGGCTTACTCGATTATTAGATATATATATGCTTACAACATAACGACTGTATGCGCCTGCAAATGTGTATTTGTTTGTATAGATAGGTATATTAGATAAGATACTAATGTCGTCAATAAATACATAATTCTACTACTATAAAGCTTATAATTATTATCATTGACAATAATATTATGTTACATATTATTTGTTAGTAAGGAGAGACACAAATTTGTACAACTTCGGATTACATACAAACGCGCAAAATATAAACGATATTATTAATAATATTATACTAATATCCAGAATTAAAAATTATACCAAGAGAATTTGAATAATTACATTTTTTCATGTGAAAAGCAAGCTAATATTGAAATGCTATAAGTTCAATCCACCTAGCATAATATATTATAAAGGTAGGCACCGTAATATTATACCTATTCATATTCACGATAAAATCTGTTTACGTTCTTAAAATAAAACGTTCAATTGAGGAGTTTAGTAAAAATAAAAAAATAAAATAATTATAATTAAAAAACAAATAAACAGTCTATTATGTCAAAACGTCTCGTTTAAGATCTATTATAATAAACGTAGGTATAATATAATATATTAATACGCGTTGTTCGGTATAATATGTGTGTATGTTTTTGTAAAATAATCGGCGCGAGTCGGTGGATTCTCCTCGCCACACACACTGCGGCGACATGCCACCCCATATGTACATATGCGAATAATAATAAATAATTGTACTAGCACAACAAAAAGATTAAAAATCTACTAAAACGTTTTCCTATTTCTTTTGTGTCAAACGTCCCAATTGTTTTAGTCAAGAATTGTTGTCGATTTTTTTTAACATTTATTTTGTATATATATTTATAGATTGGTACCTATATGTATTATATATATATTTATATATATATATATATATATCTGTACTGGTATATAAATTGCTCTCTTAACTCTTTTTTATTATTCACTTTTTTTTTTATTATTATTTTAAAACGACCCTCTTAATTACACGAAAAACGCTGCTTGAGCACTCAATAGAACGCCCGGTCCATCACAAAAGACGATTGAAAACGGACCCCTTTTCTCTTTTCTGCACAAAAAAAATATATATAATAATAAAACGAACGAGCTATTCCGCTGCCTGTCTGTCCGATTGATATCCAGTTTCCTACTGTATACAAACAAACAAACACACACACACACACACACATATTATATTATACTTATTTAAAACATTACCCCGTCACGCCGATTTTGTTAATTACAATCGACCGGTAGTGCACCGGCCACCGATTTAGATGTTTTTATTTGTGTAAAATGGGATATGCGGTGCGGGACTGTATTTTACATTATCGTATTAGAGTAATTGTAGAACACCCAACGAGTTATTTTCCAATGCATTGAAAAAAGACGGTGGATGGGTGATTAGAAGATTATTTAGAAATATTGATAACTGTAAATTATAATGTAAAAATAAAATTTATAACTTAGTAATATATTTTTATTTTACACAAGTTCAATAAATTATTAGCTAATTCAAAACAATACGTAAGTGTGTTTGATTCATAAAACATTTAAAACTACGTACGTAAGTATTAATTTATAAATACATAATATAACGAAGGCATTTTATTTTCACAATTAATTTCTATAGTTAAAACTAAAAATAAGAATTTCAATCGTTAATATATTTAAATATACAAGCATTTATTTATAATAGGTACAATATTATCCAATAAACAATTTAATTTATAAAGTGAACTAATAAAACATAAAGGGGATAATACATACCTGCTATTATTATTATTATTATGATTGTGTCATAATTAAAATTAATGAAAAAAAGATATTATGACGTTTATGAACTTTTTATAATTTAGTGAATTTACCTTCTGCCGTTTGGAAATGAAAAATGTATAAAACAGTATCGTCAAATGTACCTAACTAAATTATTTATATTCTTTGTCAAAAAAAAAAAAAAAAAAACATTGGAAACATTATATTATTGTGATTGTGGCACAAAAAGTTTATGTCATAGTAGTCTTATTATTTAAAATACCAGGAAAAAATATATTACCGATGGTATCTTCATTAGTTCTATGTTCTTTTAAAACATTTTTATAATTAATTAGTTGTAAAAAGCCTTTACATAGGTATATATAATAACACTATTTTGATATTCAATTAAATACCGCACGCGATAATGTGTACGTTTTTTTTTCCTGACACGCTGCAGGCGTTTTACCTGGAAAATATAAAAAAAAGATAATATAATCGCCAAATAAATCATAACGAGGCTGAGCGTGGTATTTTTTTATTATTATTAAAATATAACTATAATATAATAATATTACGAGTGCGCTATGAATTAATTTTGCGCGATCGCAGGACGAATTGTTTGTCAAAATCACTTTAATATTTTTGTATCGACGTATAGATTTTTTACAGAATAAATGAGACGAGGAATTATTATTATTCGTTTATTTATTTATGAGTTACGAGCTTGAATCCTATAGTTAATTAAAGACAAAAAAAGTGCAGTGATGGTTTGTATTAAAGTAATTACATATAAATATTAACAAAACATATGACATATTAAAGGATTAAAACAAAATAAAATAAGAGTTTCTGATTGGCAAGTTCACATGATTCGATTAAGCGGTTCTTTTTTTAAATAATTAGCGGAATGTAGAAGTATATTTTAATAAATGGGTTAGTTTGGATATAGTGTTTCTGATTGGTACTTTAAAATTGATGAGAGAAACAAGGGATGAGGGTTAATCAATGAAACTTGTACAGACGAGTTTTTGGAGGAACGAAATGTCGAGAGCATGTCGACGATCTGCTGCTATGGTGTTATGGTGTTAAATTAAGCTATAAATTATAATAACCACA